AGGACTAGAATAGAAGGGCTATTTTAGAATTTTTACCGGACTCGGCCTTCCTATGGTTCGTAGAGAATATAATCTAGTTTTCAGAACATATTTCGGAAATGGGATAGCTTTTCTAGATTTTAAATTATTTAGAAAACACTCCAGCGCTGTCCAGATTCATCTATCGTTACAAAAATTTGATTTTCTTGCAAACCACTCACTGTTTTTCCATGAAACTAATTTTAGTTGAAAGATAACACCTTAAGGAAGATTTTGACATAAAATAGAGGTCCAGAATAGTTTTATACATTTTTCTAGAATTTTTGAAAGTGGGCAGCAAAAACAGTTTCTAAGGTACACTACCCAAAACAAGAAGATTTATGTGAAAAGGAATCCACTAAGGTAAAATTTTCATCTCTTTTATGATGAAAACATGCTAACTAACATATATCAATGACACATCTGAAAACAATATTTAGAACCCTTAAGAACATGTATTGAAAAAGGAAAATGAAAGAGAAGGTTGTGTTGTGGCTTACTTGCTAAGTTTTGAACAAGATGGCTCTTTTCTCCCTTCCTCTTCCTCTAGCCGAAAGTGTGTGTGTAAGTGTGATGCTTGTGTTTTCCATGTTAGGGAGTGGTGATATTTATAGGCAAATTTGGTGTAAAATGACATAGAAACCCACTAGTTGGAATTGAATGGACAAGCTAGGATTTACTTGGAGCTCAATGAATTAGGAGTGATTAGGGAGCTTAACCTTGGGATTAGGCAACACCTAGTTAATTCCTAGTTGAATAGGTTTTTTTTTTTGGGTTTCTAGAATACCCTGATTATAAATCTTGAAAATAGGCTTCTCACTTCTCTCTAGGGTGGCCTGCCATTGGGAAGGGTAATGGGGCCATTTTTTTTTTCTTTTTTTTTTTTTCAATCTAGGTACTAGGAGCACATTCCTCAATGTATATATATTTATATAGATCTCAATTAATTGATGGTACTTATAGTATAAGGTACATGTACTAGTTTTTGGGAAATTTTGAATTTAAATAAGGAAGTGAGGGCTAGAAGTTAAATTCATGTATTGGAACCTTACTTATGTAGAATTTAATTAAATTAGGCTAAGGAACCTAATCCAGCTAGGATATTCTGGTTTTGATATAAAAATAATGCTAAGCGACAAGATTCGAAATAATTCAAGTAACTAAGGGCTTTAAGAAAATAATTTAAACATTAGGGTTTTTAAGGAGAAAACATTTTTCAGGGGCTTCACAACCTATCCCCCATAAAACAATTTCATCCCCGAAATTCAACTACATACTGCCTTCGAAAAGTTCGGGTAGTTTGCCTTCACCTAATCCTGGCGTTCCCAAGTAGATTCCTCAATTCCCCGATGACGCCATAGCACTTTTACCAAGTGAACCATTTTGCCTCTAAGGTTCTTCTCTCAGCTATCCTGTATTGCTACCAATCCTTCTTTAAATGTAACATCTTTATCAAGACTGATTTATTCCAATTTGAGGACGTGTGATGAGCCAGCGATGTATTTTCTCAACATAAATACGTGGAAGACGTCGTGTATCCCTACTAACTGCGGAGGTAGAGCTAGTCCATATGCTACTTCGCCCACTCTTTCGTGGTGATAGTTTTCCTTTTTTTCTGAAACGTACGACTCCACGCCTAGGTTGCACCTTTAGGAACACGTGGCTGCCTACTTCAAACATCAATGGCCTTCTTCTCCTATCTGCATAATTCTTTTGATGGTCTTGAGCAGTCTTTAACCGTTGTCGGATCAATTTGACCTTCTCCGTAGTTTCTAGAACAAGTTCGGGTCCTATCAGATTTGCATCACCCACTTCTGTCCAACAAATCGGCGATCTACAAGGTCGTCCATATAATGCTTCAAAGGGTGCCATACCGATGCTAGCTTGAAAGCTATTGTTATAGGCGAATTCAATTAGGGGTAGGTGTCATTCCCAACTTCCATGAAAATCCATTACGTAAGCTCTCAACATATCTTCGAGTGTTTGGATGGTGCGTTCAGATTGTCCATTTGTTTGCGGGTGAAAGGCGGTGCTAAAACACAACTCCATACCAAGAGCTTCCTGCAAGCTTCCCCAAAATCGAGAGGTGAACCGTGGATCACGATCTGACACAATAGACACCGGAATTCCATGTAACCGAATGATCTCCCCGATGTAAAGCCTACACATAGACTCTAAAGTGTTGGTCATCTTATAGGGTAAGAAATGTGCTAACTTGGTGAGGCGATCCACTATTACCCATATAGCATCGCGTCCTTTAAGTGACTTAGGCAACCCTGTCACAAAATCCATCGTCACAAACTCCTACTTCCATTTGGCTATTGATAGAGGTTGCAACATTCCTCCTGGTTTCTGTTGTTCTGCCTTCACTTGTTGGCATGTCAGACATTTCGCTACAAATTTTGCCACTTCCTTCTTCATTCCATTCCACCAATACTACCTCTTCAAATCTTGGTACATTTTAGTCCCTCCTGGATGTATCGCAAATGCAGAAAGATGACATTCCTTAAGTACCTTTTCTCTAAGTAGCTCGTCACTTGGTACAAACAATCTACCTTGGTATCTTAAACTCCCATCGGGGTGAATTACCCAATTGAGCATGGGTTCTCCTGATTCTAGACGTCCCTTGATATAGGCTACCCCTTGATCGTGCTTTTGGGCCTCCATGATCTCATTCATCAACTTAGGCATCACCTTCTATGCACTAAGATATGCTTTTGTACCTTGAGATTCTATTTGGATCTTGAATTCATTGAGTGTCTTAACCATATCCCATTCTTGGACGGAAATTCTAGCCATCATCCCCGCGCTCTTGCAACTGAGAGCATCTGTTACTACATTGGCTTTACCGGGATGATATAAGAGAGTGAACTGGAAATCCTCAAGATACTCCATCCATCGTCTCTGTCTCAAGTTGAGGTCCTTCTGTGTAAATAGATACTTCAAACTCTTGTGATCTGTGAAAATCTCAAATTGTTCCCCATACAGCTAATGTCGCCATTGCTTTAGGGCAAAAACTACGACCGCTAACTCCAAGTCATGTGTTGGGTAGTTACGCTCATGAGGTTTCACCTGCCTGGATCCATACGCGACTACCTTTCCATTTGGATGAGCACACACCCTAACCCTTCTTTAGATGCATCCCAATACACAGTATACCCCACTTCTCGTTCTGGGATGGTCAAAATTGGCGCACCAGTTAACCTCTTCTTTAGCTCTTGGAAGGATTTTTCGCAAGCTTCGTCCCACTCATATTTTACTCCTTTTTGAGTCAAATGAGTCATTGGTTTAGCTAATTTGGAGAAATCTTGGATGAACCTCCGGTAATAACCGGCCAATCCTAAGAAACTGCGGATTTCTGACACGGTCTTCGGTTGTCTCCAATCTAATACTGTCTCTACCTTGGTTGGATCCACCGCAATCCCATTCTCCAACACTACATGCCCTAAGAATTTTGCTTCATTCAACCAGAACTCACATTTGCTTGCCTTGGCATATAATCTGTTATCCCTAAGAACTTGAAGGACAGTCCTTAAATGTTGTTCATGCTCTTCTTCAGACCTTGAATATACCAAGATGTCATCAATGAACACTACTACAAACTGGTCGAGGTATGGTCTAAAGATCTTATTCATTAGGTTCATGAATACTGCCAGTGCATTGGTTAGTCCGAAGGACATTACTACAAACTCATAGTGGCCATATCTAGTACGAAAGGCAGTTTTTGGTATATCCTCCTCCTTGATTCATAGTTGATGGTAACCTGACCTGAGATCGATCTTTGAATAGCACCTTGAGCCTCTAAGTTTATCAAAAAGGTCATCAATCCTTGGGAGTGGGTACCGATTTTTAATCATGACGATAATCAATGCATAGCCTCAACGACCCATCCTTCTTTTTAGCAAACAACATGGGTGCTCCCCATGGTGAAGTACTTGGCCTAATGAATCCTCTCTCAAGCAATTCCTGTAGTTGTGTCTTTAATTCTTGTAGTTCTGCTGGTGCCATACGATACGGGGCCATGGATATTAGGGTAGTTCCAGGTTATAACTCGATGCTCAAGTCTACTTCCCGGGTTGGTGGCAAACCCGGTAACTCCGTAGGAAATACATCTGTATATTCACATACTATGAGCAGAAGTTCTAATTCTCCTTGGCCCTCCTCATTTAAAATCAGACTTGCTATCCTACCCGCAATCTGATCGCACCGCTGCGTCCTATGTTTTGTTGAAGCCATGGGGTCTTGTCTATCCCCCTTAAACTGGAAACGAGTTCCATCTTGCGTGTGAGCTACCACTTTCCTCTGATGACACTTGATCACTGCTCAGTGGGTAGACAACCAGTCCATGCCCAAAATGACATTGAAGTCAGACATTTCCATGACACGAAGGTCGCACGTTAAGTGTAGCTTCGACATTCCTATCTTACAGTCCTTATAGATCAATCCTATCCGAACGCTTCCTCCTATAGGTGACATTACATTTAAGGCAGTTTCTAAAGGTTCACATGTAAGTTCTAATAACTTAGCACAAGCAGAGGATATAAAAGAATGTGATGCACCAGTATCAAATAAAACATGCACCCAAGAATTGTATAGCACTAAATTACCCTCAATTACAGACGGATCTACTTCTTCCTCTTGCAAGGCAAAGATTCTGCCAATTGCCTTCTGGTTGCCACTGGTCTTGGCGTTCTGGGTTCCCCCACTCTTCTGGTGCTGCTGCCTAGTCGATCCTGTCTTGTTCGTCCAAGGCTTCTACCCACCTAATGCCTGGGCATTTGCTCCGGAACCTCCTCCTTGGTACCCAGATGGAGGGAGTTGGGGGCATTCGCTCTTTTTGTGCCCTAATTGTTGGCAATGAAAGCACTAGATTTGTTCCGTCGGCCTTTGTTGATAGCCTCCTTTCTGGATCTGTTGTTGCGGTTGCTATCGTGGTTGTGGTCTGGAGTAGGGCTTTGGGGTCATGTTTCCTTTTGGTTCCTCTAAGGTCCAATAGACGTCTGACTCCCCCTCCTCTTGTTCCAAGCCTTTCTAGCGTCGGTTACTTCCCTTTCAGACTCTAACACCGTTTCCAACACCTCGGCATATAAGGGGAGTCGTTGTAGAAGAACTCTTCCCCTGATTGTAAGGTCCAACCCCCACTCGAACATCCTTGCTTTCTCCTCATCATTTGCTACATATCTAGTTGCGTAATGGGCTAACTCTTCAAATTTTGCAGCATACTGGGTCACGGTCATATTTCCTTGTTCCAGGTTTTGGAATTCCTTGACTCGTTCTCGACGGACCGTACTTGGGAAATATTTATTTAGGAACAGTTCCCTGAACTGGTTCCATGATAGGCTCGCCACGTCACGAGTATTCTTGATTAACTCCCACCAATGGTTAGCCTCCTCGTCAAGCTTGAATACTGCCAAAGTTGTTCTATCAGCGGCCTCAGTTATGCCCATGGTGTCTAGCATTTTCTCTATGTGCCGAAGCCAATTTTCAGCTACCTATGGGTCTGGTACACCTGTGAACTTTGGGGGCCTCTGCTTTCGAAACTCAGAAAAGAGTCGAGTCCTCTCATTCTGCCGATGGTTCCTTACTTGCCCTAATTCCTCCAAAATTTGATGTCTTAGATTATTGGAAATGTCAGCCCTTGTGGGGACAAATCTGTGTTGTTTTCTAGGGCAGTTTCGTGCGTTGTTGCTGGTTTCGGTATAGCCATTAGCTCGCGTGTCCACCATTCTGTTCATGGCACGTGGTGAGTTGGTTTCCAGTTTTAGATAATCTTACTACTTAGATTTGAAATGAAGGTTCAGTTTCCTTAGGGTGTACTAAAACAAGTAACAGTCAACAACATAGATCAACAAGTCATTCATATCTTATAATAAGCATCATTACAAAAGGGCTCCTAAATCGGAGTTACATTCAAAGGGCATCTACGCATTACAAAGTTCAGGCTATCTTATTCAAAGGATCCCTATCAGCGGATCTTACAAAAGTCTAGTTTTACTATTCCTCGAACTAGTTCTCGTTTCTTGACCAATCAAAGTCTTCTTCTGGGTCTTCATCAGCGGAGTCAGTGGCTTGGTCCGAAGAGCGGGGGGTGTACATTGGTGAGGAGGAATTGTGTTTAGATGACACCTCTATAGGGTAGGCTAGGGTTGCTCCTCGCTGTTCTGGTGGCTGCTCCATATTCATTGGTTGATTGTTGCCTGGCCCCTGATAACAGGATGCGTAGCTTTCAGCTTGAGTTGGTGGTCGGTGGTATGCTATTATGGTCAAAGCTCAGTGTATCAAGGAATCCATCCTCTGATCATCTTGCTCCATTCGCACCGCCTTCTTCGCTACCCGGCTCAAAAATTGTAGGCAGCGCCGCACCAGAGACCTCTTCTGCTCCCTCGTTTAGCAGGAGCGCTCCGTTTCCACCTTACGTACCTCGGTTCTGATCATTTCCTCGGCAGCACTTGTACAGCGTCAACAGCTAAAGCAGGGGCTAACAGACATGGCCCTCCTTCCTTGCATACGGAAAGTACCCCACGAGTCGAGACTGACGCCGCGTCCTGGATAATCTCCTGCTGACATCCTAAGGTGGAAAAAGAGGTAAGGGCTTCTAGAGTCGCATATTGGGTTCCGCGGGTTAAGGGTTGAACCTAGGCTCTGATACCAAGTTGTGACGCCCCTATTCTACACTGTTGGTTGTAGTCAAGGAAGAATCACGAATGAGTCCTGTGGTCAATGACCAAGTAAGATCCCAGTTCGCCGGAAGAGTCAAATTAGCCTCCCTTCTAAGTCCGGCTTTCTTAGGCAGCGCACTCCCCCTTTGACAGATCTTAAAAGGCGTTGACACAGGGTCTCATAAGCAACGATAGGGTTTATACACATACATAGAATATAATTACATAACAACCACGAATATCCTTAATTTTAAAGCTTGTTCCGCTACATTACATCCCAAGAAAATTTAAAACTTCACATGAGTCTTACAAAACATTAAAAGGAAATTTCTAACTTTACTAAGATAGCCAAAAGTCTTTGAAGGTTTCAGGCTCTTCGTCTCCAGCTATAAGTTCCTCTTCGTCACCTGGCACGATACGCCATGAGCTTTGAATGCCTAGTAAACACACACACACCCTGTCTTTTTTCCAGTCCAATACACAATCTTAAATATAACAAGTAGTAAAGCATGATACCCAAAATAGATATACAAAGGGTTACAAGTTAGATCTTAGTAAACTAGAAATCCCCTAAAGAGATTTCATCCTCCTAACCACAAGAATCGGATTCGGATTATTCGGTATGCCCCCTCTTTTGCCGCTTTGTTGCAGAACTAACCTCAGATGCCTACCATCGGTTATATACCGCGTAGCGCCAACCGCAGGGCCTCAAAAGAGACGGTAATAATGGGCCTTGCCCAAATCCCTCCTCACACCAAACCACCTACGGTCCGAATACAACGGCTCTGTTCAAGGGTTCCGAAAACCACTTGGGCAAAACTTTAACTTCCAAGTAGGGAACGCATCCCAACAATCCACACATCACACATTATCATCATTACTCAAGTGATCGAAAACCCAATACCATCCCAATTAAGTTTCCCATTGAGTTAAATGTTTTAAAACAAGGTTATACCAATCTTAACAAGATAATAATATCCACATAAGCATGCATCATTAAGATGAAAGAGAATAAAAACATAACCATAATATGTACAACATCATGCCAAGATATGATTATACGCTAATAAACATTTTCATGAACACAAGAGCATAAAACACCTATGCATACAAGATTTCCAGATTCGATATCACATAAGGACTAGAATAGAAGGGCTATTTTAGAATTTTTACCGGACTCAGCCTTCCTATGGTTCGTAGAGAATCTAATCTAGTTTCCAGAACGTATTTCGGAAATGGGATAGTTTTTCTAGAATTTAAATTATTTAGAAAACACTCCAGCGCTGTCCAAATTCGTCGATCGTTACAAAAATTTGATTTCTTGCAAACCGCTCCATGTTTTTCCATGAAACTAATTTTAGTTGAAAGCTTCCTCCTTAAGGAAGATTTTGACATAAAATAGAGGTCCAGAATAATTTTATACATTTCTCTAGAATTTTTGAAAGTGGGCTGCAAAAACAGATTCTAAGGTACAATACCCAAAACAAGAAGATTTATGGCAAAAGAGATCCACTAAGGTAAAATTTTCGTCTCTTTTATGATGAAAACATGCTAACTAACATATATCAATGACAGATCTGAAAACAATATTTAGAACCCTTAAGAACATTATTGAAAAAGGAAAATGAAAGAGAAGGTTTTGCTGTGGCTTACTTACTAAGTTTTGAACAAGATGGCTCTCTTCTCCCTTCCTCTTCCTCTAGCCGAAAGTGTGTGTGTGAGTGTGATGCTTGTGTTTGCCATTTTAGGGAGTGGTGATATTTATAGGCAAATTTGGTGTAAAATGACATAGAAACCCACTAGTTGGAATTGAATGGACAAGCTAGGATTTACTTGGAGTTCAATGAATTAGGAGTGATTAGGGAGCTTCACCTTGGGATTAGGCAACACCTAGTTAATTCCTAGTTGAATAGTTTTTTTTTTTTGGGTTTCTAGAATACCATGATTATAAATCTTGAAAATGGCTTCTCACTTCTCTCTAGGGTGGCCGGCCATTGGGAAGGGTGATGGGGCCATTTTTTTTTTCTTTTTTTTTTTTTCAATCTTGGTACTAGGAGCACATTCCTCAATGTATATATATTTATATAGATCTCAATTAATTGATGGTACTTATAGTATAAGGTACACGTACTAGTTTGGGAAAATTTTGAATTTAAATAAGGAAGTGAGGGCTTGAAGTTAAATTCATGTATTGGAACCTTACTTATGTAGAATTTAATTAAATTAGGCTAAGGAACCTAATCCAGCTAGGATATTTCGGTTTTGATAAAAAAAAAATGCTAACCGACAAGATTCGAAATAATTCAAGTAACTAAGGGCTTTAAGAAAATAATTTAAACATTGGGGATTTTAAAGAGAAAACATTTTTCAAGGGCTTCACATGAGCAGGTAGATCAGAGGCCTACAGGGCGCGTGTATGCTGTTACTGCGCCAGATCTTGTATCGGCTCCATCTGTGGTGAGAGGTACCTTTTTGTTTTGCAACTCGGTTACTAATGTATTGATTAATGCGGGTGCATCCCATTCATTTATATCTTCTACTTTTGCATCTATTTTGGGATTGGAGTTGGCGCAGTTAGCATCTCCTATTTGTGTTGTGTCACCTATTGGGGTGAGTTGGCTTTGAAACAGGGGTGTCGGGGCTGTGATATAGAGGTCGCTGATCGTCGGCTTCTCTTTTCTTTTGTATTGATGGACATGTCGAGTTTTGATGTGATTTTGGGTATAGACTGGCTATCATCCTACCGGGCTATTATAGACTATTACCGCCAGAGGGTTACTCTATGTATCTTAAGCGGGGATTGTTTTCATTTCTTGGGGAATCGGGTTGGTAGAGTCTTACCACCGGTGTAAGATCCGCGAGGGCGGAGTGAGCTTAGTTGTCTTCTCGCTAGCTGTATGAGTAGTGAGAGTGATGAGACCCTGACTGAGTTGCCAAGGGTGGTTTGTGAGTACTCGAATGTCTTTCTCGAGAATCTTGTTAGTTTAACACCCCATCGAGAGATTGAGTTCTCTATTGACTTAGTGCCTGGCACGGCACCAATTTCTATGGCACCATATCGTTTTGCCCCAGCCGAGTTGAGTGAGTTAAAGATTCAACTCAAAGAGTTGCTAGATAAGGGTTTTATTCACCCTAGCACTTCGCCTTGGGGAGCACTAGCCCTCTTTGCTAAAAAGAAAGATGGGGCTTTGAGACTATGTATTGATTACCGAAAACTGAACCAGGCTACGGTTAAAACAAGTACCTTATGCCTCGTATAGATGACCTGTTTGATCAGTTGAAAGGATCCCGTTGTTTCTCTAAGATAGACTTGAGATCGAGTTACCATCAGTTGAGGGTCAAGGAGGAGGATATCCCGAAGACAACATTCCGTACGCGGTATGGCCACTATGAGTTTCTGGTGATGCCTTTTGGGCTCACCAATGCCCCGGCTGTATTTATGGACTTGATGAATCGGATCTTTCGGGAGTTTTTAGATCGCTTTGTAGTCGTCTTTGTGGACGACATTCTGATTTATTCACCTTTTGAGGAAGAGCACGAGGAACACTTGAGGGTGGTGCTTGAATTACTTAGAGCCCATAAGCTGTATGCTAAATTTGGGAACTGTGAGTTTTGGCTAAGAGAGGTTAAATTCTTAGGCCATGTGGTATTCGGGGAAAGGGTGACTGTTGATTCATCTAAGATAGAGGCAGTGCAGGATTGAGTACAGCCTAAGAGTGCCTTTGAGATCCGCAGTTTTCTGGGATTGGCCAGCTATTATCGTCGGTTCGTAAAAGATTTCTCCAAGC